GGGGAAAGACTACGTCTCATTCAAGTTCAGGCTGCGTGTTGGGCGAGTTGAACTGTGCTTCAAAAAGTATTCCACCAAACGTTCTAGAAGGTTATCAGCCTCTTATCCTTTTCGGTGATGGTTTCAATAGACATCTTTTCTTGCTGGTATCCTTAATCAGCCTAGATAGTTGCCGGGTGTTACTTAACGCCGATAGGTTTCCCATCTCTCTCTCGCTTTTGTCATGCACCACTAATCACGATAGACAGGAAGAATATAGGTTAATTTACGTTTGAGTTGCTTTTGCTCTTCATCGTGGTCAGAGCCAGCTAGAATCAGCCTTCTCACATCACTGAGCTCGGATGACGTCACTGAAATCCAATAACGTTTGCTAACCTTCAGGTGTAGGTTACCATCTGTCTTCATCTCTGTTTCCACAGCAAACTTAATACCACTCCAGGTTTCCTCAGGATGAGCATCACTGCCATGTTCAGATAAATGCTCAGCTAACTCCCCCCTAAATATGTACTTGATGTTCGCATCTGTGAGTCGAGCACAGATATGCTTGAATGTTGCATGTTTCCTGCAACCAGTAAGGCGCAGACATACACTTGCCCATACTAACGCGTAATTGGAGTCCAAAGTAGTACTCTGGAAAGAGCAGCAGTCCTCAACCGATCCTCTACGACGATGGCTTATAGCAATGTGACCTGTGTCCATTGTTGGTTTGATATCGGTGGACTGCATGTGAGACAGTATCTCTTCTTATGCTTAGAGTGACTGTAGGAACAAAATTGTAACAGACGATCGCCGTTGTTGGTTTGCTAGCGTGGCATTCCGTAAATACCTCCAAATGCCTTACCGATTGGCTCAGTATCCCTATTTGAGCGTTAAAGTCACCAGCTATTATGACTTCATCTGAACGTTTCGCTTTCCATAACAAGGTTGACAGTTTCTCGTAGAATTCATCCCTTTCATCATCCGAACTGCAGTCGGTGGCTACGTAGGCGATTACGAACAGGCGTCTGTTGGTTACCAGTTCCTTCCTATTTCTTACATATCTACTCAGTAGAACAGCATATAAACGGTTGTCGACTAGTATCCAGTCGAGAAGCACAGTTTCTGTCCTATAGATAAATGATATAGCCGCACCAGCGAGTCCACGAAAGCTAGCCACTGGGTCTCCGGATACTCGTACGGTGAATTTTGAAGATTCACTACTATGGTCAGGTGAGAACAACTTAATAACCGCACATGGGTCCTGTATACATGTTTCGGAGACATGGCACACATTCATGGCTAGATATTGCAGAGTTCTAGCGAGCGATGCTTGCTGTCCAATTTTACGTACAGTTTGGAGATTGAAAGCTCCAATATGAAATCGGTGGTGGGGTCTTAGGAGATTAGGGATGGGTTTTCGATGGTTTCGATCGTTCACGATGGTCGCAGAGTGAGAGGTCGGGGAAAGTGTAAGAGGCTTAACACTAGTATCAGGAGATGACGACAAAGGAGGATAGGTTATGTTTGGTTGGGATTTGTGTAGTACTGGAAGCGTGCGAGCCGGTTGACACTTCCGGGTTGCCCACACCATAGAAGCCTAATTCTTCTTCAGATAATTGAAAAAAAGAATATTGCGTGACCGTAGAGCCCAAACTACATGTCTGAAGCCGGTCACACACAGCCTCTTTGAAATTTTACTTTTGAATTCGATTATGAATGAATTTCTGTCTCAGGCATCGGCATGGCGCGGAGTGATGGGAATGTGCTACCTTTTAGGGCTGACCTCCAGCCCCCTTTCCATGGGGAAGGCAATATCAACGTGGCACTACTGATCATCCAAGGGCAACATATTACTGTTGTCGCATTATTGTCCAGTCAGCAGTACGACTTCATCCTCAGACCCCTATCATAGCGTAGGAATTTAGGGTATAGTGGTTACTGCTTTTTGTCTAACCATTATTCAACAGATCTTTATGGTATGGGAAAGACATCGAGGGGATAAGCGATCCATCGGCATAGATCGTTGGGTCATCGTGACATACAACTACAACCACCACATCAAGGTAGCAGCTATTGGTTGGGTTGATCTAGAGACAGCAAGACTCACACTACACGGATGAGCGTTTTAGGAATTTACTCACTCCAATGATAGTCTTCATCACAGGTTGAAATCAGTTCCATCCTAGTTCGGAGCTCCTGAGCAGTGAGTACCCAAAACCTCAGAAGCGATCAAGTACAGGATCATCAGGCTAGTATTTTCAAGTTTTCAAAGGTCCTCCAAATGATGTTAGTCCGTGATGAAAACCATCTTGAAATCAGTAAGTCCACACAAAGCAACAATGGAATTACATCCAGTGCCGATAAGTGACTTGTTTCGAGATGGATTTCTCAATGTTTTAATGAGAAGCTGTGATATGTAGAGTCGAACAAGTCAAAAATGAGTCGGATGCCCACAGATGATGATCGAGCCAAGTGAAGAATTGACAGAAGTAGGAAAAGTGGACAGCTAGATTCCATTCTAGTGGACGAACCTTTACATATCCACCACAAGACATGACAGTATTGAGCTCTATCTCAAATGGAGTGTGAAAACATATCATTCCTCTTTATGACCCTTTTGCTTTCAAATCTTTCATCATCTTAATTTATAAGTCTGACCTGATCATATTTTCCCGTTCCATATGAAATGCTTTAAGAGGTGATTATATGATTAAACTGATCGAAATGAATAATGCAAATACATCATATTATCTCCGTCTTCTTATCATATTTTGTAAATGCATCCTTTCTGTTTGTCTCGCGCTTTCGCACATATTTCATTTTCAATTTTAGTCTGAGTTCGACACGACCTTTCATCGAATACTGACGCGCTTGCACAACTTCTTTGGAAGTAGAACAAACACTTGGATCCTTCTCAGTTATTTAAATTTTATCGGTGACCAGTGTTAATTCTTATCATAGTATCGCACTTTAGATAAATTCGGTTTTAACTAACGTTTCACACGTAGCTCAAGAGTTTGGTTTTGATATTTCCGGGCGAATTCCATAGTAATTACATAAAGGAAAATGCATTTGATCATAGAAAAAGACAAAGATAAAGTCATTCATTAAGCTGTACATTCGTGAATAAATGTTACAGTAGGCAGAACGCCTCAGAGTTATTTCCGGTTAGGCGGTAAATTATTGAATGACTAAAGGAAGTTAATTGATACACATTTGGGGTTCAAGTGAGAAAATAAACAAGAGATCATGAAATTAAATGTAATTATGCAATGCAGGTTAAATCTATAACGCAGTAGGAAAATAAACAAGGGAAAGTTGAATTTGATTTGGATTCTAGAGTGAATTTGATTGAATGGTAGGCGTGGTTGAAAGTTTGCAAGGTTCATATTTTTATCACTCTAGAATCAGAATCAAACTTCACGTTCCATTTTCTTGATGTCCATTCCAAAGAAAAGACGATAATTCACTTCGTAAGTCCGTCTACAGAAAGCCCATGAAGAACGGACAGTTTATTAATTTTCAAAATTCAGTCCCTCTATGTAGGAAATCTTATCCATTTACTGTCCTCGAGGATCAGGAAAATATGTATTGAGGACACTGTTGACGAAGAACTACAAAATCTTCAACGAACTCTAGTGGAAAACGGTTTCCCCCTCAGATTCATAGATAAGAACATAAAGCCAAAGAAACCAATTGAACGAACACGTTTGGCGCCAAAAAAGATCCTTTTTATTGGATCTTGAATTTAAAAATGATATTGTTGCAGGCATCCTCAGAAGACTTTCAAAATCCTTAAATAGAACATACTTCGCCGCCAAACTTCGAACAATTTTCTCCTACAAAAAATCTTTGGTCAAGCCGACACATTGGGCCACATAAATGTGTGCATATCAGTTTATTTGTTTTTGTGAAGCTGAATACATCTGCCGTACAATGCATCTGCTTAAAAAACGTGCCCATGAACACTACCCAGAATGGCTGGCAAAGGGAGAACGCATACGTCTCTTCAATTCAATAACAGAACACCTTGTGAACTCAGCTCCTTTTGAGAGCTCATTCAAAATCTTCTACAAGATTTGATCAAACAACTCAAATAGAGTAAGATCAAGGCATTTGGCTATGTTTGAAACAAGAAAGGTACGTCCAACCTTTATCTTTGCCATCATAAGGCCTTGACTGTCATAGATTCATCCTGCATTAGATAACTATACATGTATTTTCATAATCCTTTGTTTATTTTCCTACTACGTTATAGATTTAACCTGCATTGCATAATTACATTTAATTTCATGATCTCTTGTCTATTTTCTCACTTGAACCCCAAATGTGTATCAATTAACTTCCTTTAGTCATTCAATAATTTACCGCCTAACCGGAAATAACTCTGAGGCGTTCTGCCTACTGTAACATTTATTCACGAATGTACAGCTTAATGAATGACTTTATCGAAAAGGAAATTTTTTCTTCTTTGTAATCACGTTTTGTCTTTTCTTATGCTCAAAAAATACATTTAACGTGGACTGATGATTATTGATTTGAAAAGTGAACTTTGGAAATTGTCATTTTAAAATTTTTTTCGTGGCTCAGTTATGTGTTTTTTCCAACCTCAATGTTCACCCCACTCCTTACATAAAGATCGACCCAATTAGTCTAATTAGCAAAAACAAACTTCATTATCTCGTTTGCTGTGATACGATCTAGAGGAATTTTATAAGTTATTGAGGTCCATATTTATTATAACATCTATTTAGTAGTGTTAGACTCTGAATAAATACAAAAAGAGCAATGAAGTTTCAGTAGAATGTAATAACCAGGCGAGGTATTTGTAAAATTAGTAGGAAAGATGGGGAAAAGAAGGTGAAATATGATCTGATAAACATGGTCAAACCTGTTTCGCGTAAATGGACTTTATTAGACTAAATAACTGAAACTTGTATTATTGGTTCAAATCCTATAATAACTAGAAGAACGCTGGTGAATATTTACATGAGCCTCTGGCTAAAATTCAATAGTCTGAATTATTTTTTATCACTTGAAAGTATCTGTAAAATATGTTCAGACATTGATACAACGGACGACCACGTAACATATTGTCCCATATGACGCCATAATGATACTAGCCTAAGTATGTTATCATTATCCCCAGTGCTACCGCTACCATGAGTTTGAAGAGAATGAGGTAATATGATCTTGGTTAAATGTCTTCTTATAGTTAAATCACGTTCAATTTGATTAATTAACCCATTCAATTCAGCACGGAACGGTTCCCATAAAAAGAGCTGGTTATACTGTTGTGACTGTCTTGATGACAAAGGTCGAGGTGACTGAACTGAATTGGACAGCAGACTGGTATCTTCTGGCATAGAATAATTCTTCTGTGTGTTTAGTGAAGAATAGCTTTTTGAATAACATGTAGCATAATGACAGAGAGATTCATTCTGATCCAGTTTGCTTAAAGCATTGAATTGGTTGACCTGGAATGTGATTACGTAAAATCAATATAAAACACGTGTCAATAGACGAATAATGCATTGTTAGATCAAATGGTGGATCTTGGAAGCTCTAAGCAGTATATGAAACCTGGGGTAAAGATTTAAAAACCACGAAAAACTGTATGAACAAACGTTTTAGGACGAAATAAGTGAAACTCAGTGATCCAGTAATGGTTTACACACTAAAATACAAGCGACAGATGATGATATTACCCAGTTGCCTAGATGAAAGTAGATGGTATAGGATTTGAGCCAGGAACTTAAAAACTGAGAGCTTAAACAAATGGACCAAACCTATAAAAATATATGAAATAATTAGAGATTTGAATAGTGATGAGAAGTGGTGAGCTGATGAAATCAATAAGCATTACTGGGTAGTCACAACCAGGTTCTCTGATCAGAGATGATGTGATTCAAGGGCATGTCTTAATCTTTTTGAAAAAAGTTCTAATGAGGGAATAGTCTTAGAGTGACGTCATAGATGAACCAATAACATTTGCGCTGTCAGTACCTTCTTATTATTTACTCCTCTATCCAAAAGGACTTGAAACAACTGATTTACACATGTTCTATTATCCTTGAGCGTACACCAACCTAAGCACATCGAAAAGGTAGAAAGTAACGATTTATATATCACTATTTAAATAGCTATTATTGGTTGAATCTTCTATGTTGCACAATTACATCCAAGTCAACAGTACAAAAAGGAAAACAGATTAAGGTGATCTAGAGTCTTTTCATAGAGGAAGTGAACAGCCTAATACCCATGTGACTTCTGCCTTCTTAAAACCTTATTTACTAAGCTCTTCATTACTGGCCAACTACTAAAATAAAGGAGCTGCGGTTAATTGGTCTAAGCACTCAACCTTCAACTAATGAGTCATCGGTTGGAATCTCGCTCCACCTACTGAAGTTTCGTTAGCCAGGCAGTACCACTAGCTCTCAAAAAATAGGTATGGTTAATTGCCTGCTGCACGAATGTGTACATATCGTTTCACTTGAATATACAGTTCTAAATATGAACAAATTTATAAACAAAACAATACCACAAGAATCTTTAGAAAACTCTAAGAGGTCACATAGTTAGGAAACCGTTAAATTTTCATAAGCACTTCCTTGTGAAAAACGATAATAGTAATATGGTTACGGTTTTAATCTGAATGTTGAATGATAAAATTAGAGGGTTACAAATGAGGAAGTCAGAATCGAGATGACCAGACTTGAGACAAGTATTGTGCTGAAAAACACTGGGTTTTGAGATTACAGGGTCTGGTAACATTAAGTCCTTTATTTTTATTGAAGCCTGTGAAAATCAGTCGGTGCTTATGCTTTCCTTTTGTAGTTCATTTCTCTGTTAATATGATTATTTGCACTTTTTTGACTTGTGGTTGGTTAAGTGTATAATCTCACATATGTTAGATAGTGATGAGCATAAAAATAGTCACCGTCAGAGTATAAGTAACTTATGTTATGATAGGGGTACACTGGTGAGTTCTTACTGGTGACCATACAGAGTGTGAACAGCAGTAAGGCGTTTCCCATTGATGACCAACATTCCACGTTGATGCTACCTTCTCTTACCAGTAGATTTATCCCTGCTATGTAGCCTGCCACTGCCGGCGACATGGGTTTTTGCAACCTGAATGCAACACAAAAATCGTAAACCACAAACTATTAAAAAGGCTGTGCGTGATTAACCTCAAGCAGATATCATTTGGGCTTTACTGTCATGCAAAGTTAGAGCGTTTCCTTCATCAGGTGTCTCGAGAAACCAACTTTTATGGTATGAACATTCAGGAAGTACAAATCAACCATACACTTCCAGCAGCATAGAAAACTCATTTTACTGCAATCTCTCTGCTCGTCTGTTTGCAGTCTATGATAGACAGAAAAAATATCAACAGCAGCGCGTCAGTCGAAGTTGTCAAAGTCAACATTATTACATTAAGCAGGAGTCAAAAACTATGGTGATATTAGATATAAGAATAACTACAAAGCAGCAAGAAAATGTGTTGAAAATACGAAAATATTTTGAGATTCGCTACTGACACCAATTTCGGTAGCACTGAATAAAACCAATACTATTTGAAGACAAGAAGACTTAACTTGAAAAGGGTAAAGTGAATAACACCTTCCATTTGACTGTTGTATACGTAAAATTATTGGCCACAACTTTTCAACTGTTTCCGATACGACCGGCTTGACTAAACAACAAACTGAACAGCATACTGAATGATCTAAAAATTAATGTCTACATGTGGAAAACGGGGATAATTCTAGAAACCGATTTGTATGAAAAGTCAGTAAGCCGTTTCTCCTTCAAAATTGCTAATTTCACTTTGCTGATGCGTTAAAAAACGAAGGAACAACTTCGTAAATGAATGAAATGTTAGTTGTCAGGTGGAGAAGATAATGAAGGTAAACTTGTGTTGTATATGACATTACAGGGTTGTTTTACAAGTGTACTAATAGGGTGGAGCATACCGAGCAACTAGTATGTAATAATGTTGATGATGGGTAGTGACCAGTGGAATCCAGGACGTGCGTTTCGTCCTACTCGGGACTCGTCAGCTGGACGTGCCTGCCTCGGAGTGATGTTGTCCTCACTGGGGCTCGAACTCGGGACCGATAGCTCCAAACGTTAGAGCGTTATTCAGTAGAGCACCGATAGCCACTTCTTGTATCACAAAACTTAATATGTAGTAAGTTTCGAACCCATCTGAAACTTACACTAGATTTAATAACTTAAGATTTCTCACATATTAATGCATTAGATATCCATTACAAAGACTTTGAAATATAAAGCGAACCTATTGGTTTCGTTACACAGACTGACGGTTCTAGTTCCAATAAGAGACGTTCAAGACACATTGTCAGACTCATGGCAACTTGCGATATGAACCATTTTCAAGCTAACAAGCGGATATAATTTCGTGATAAAAAAAGGAACAATAACAGGACAGAGGTACTAACCAAGGAATTTAATTGTGTACAACAATTTTCCATACTAGTCAAATGTTCATCCAACTTGTCATAACCCGTTTCCAAAATTTGGCCTACACGTAATTTCTTCGTTTGTTCTACGTTTTGATTTAAATATAAATCGCATAGCGTATATGTAATACAATCATCAAGATCGTTCACGGATAATGAACCTGAGGGACAGAAATCCAAAAAATATATTTATTACTAGGAACGACGACAATAAATTAAACATAACACAAGGTTCAATCAGAAATTTCACACTTAAGAACTGTACCAAACCCAACTTAATAGGCAGTCTTTTCTTTTGCAATTTTCTGCCTTACAATTTATAAACCTAATGATTGGGATACCTAGTGAGAGGAAAGGTGTTAGTTGGAGTAACCAAGAAATTAGAAGAGATAAAAATTATACAGAATACAAGATAATAGGTAGATGCATTTGTGCCACTGATATTCATTCTGAGCCCTGTCTCCTAGAGTCTTCAGGCATCGATTTTGGTTGCCACGCAGTGTCCAACAGGGAAGTTTGCATTTAGCTCAATGGGCCTGAGATTTCAGTCATTGTTTTCATCTTCTAGTCTGTCCACCTCTGAACCTACTTCAATTAATATCGTGTGATAGGGCAGACGGTGACTAGGTGTGTGAAACACATCTCAACCATATGAGTCGATGAAGATTTACGACCTCATCAACTGGCTTACATCTTTTACCGAAAACTACATCTGATTTTTGCATTACTAACGTGGTGGCACCAAGACATACGGCTTGTGCGACGAAGGTAACGGTGATTAGAAACCTGAAACCTTCTTATATCCTCTACCTTTGATGAACATGTTACACAGCTATAGAGGATACAGAGAACTGCTGTGCAGAACACTCGACTGTTAGTGAACAATCGGATATCTTGTCAGTGCCATAAGTGGAGTAAGTTGGCAAAAGTCAATCTAGCCTTTTGCATCAGTCACTGGCCTACCACATCTGATCCTAATTTCCAGGTTAGCGAAGAGGTCAGTGTGTTAAGTCATTCCACTCGCTGTTGCTAGGCGAAGAAACTACACAGGCCAATACTGAAGCAATAATTTGTATCTGGGCGATGAGACGTATCTAAAACATTCTCAAAATGTCCAGACGACCCCAAATATAATTTGATCACATCGTTACACAGTTTTACTTTCAGTATTTAGATCTTAATAGTGATCACAATAGTGATAAAAATATTTAACTCCACATAATCTAGCGAAATAGTTCTTCTGAGTTCCACGCGCATAACCTACAATTAAATAATGAGGCAGGAAGTAGTTAGGCTGTCTAAGACAGCTATGATTACAAGAATTTTGATTTATGAGCGAAGAAGCTAATTCACCACCAACTTATGATGATTAGTTCAGTAATGGACCGGAAGCATCGACTGCTAAGTGTATATAAAATGCATGTTTTATCCAGATGATTCAGATTTAGTCATTATCTTCACGAGGATTTCAATAAAAACGTTCACCGCAATGTCGTGCCAATTAGGTGAATGATCACGTCGCAAAATTAATCAGCACTTATGATTTAACATTTAAATTGGTTACCAAGTCTTAAAGAAAATCCAATCCTACTGGAGGTTATTCATGATCTGATTAATCTATTGCTAAAGTTTCTACCTTTAGCACTGATTGATGTAGATTTCGATCCCCAAGGAAATATGGAACTCCTTAAAATTGTAGATATGCATTTCTGTTGAGTGTCGACAAGGACGAGACCCAGGTTAAACATGGCTTCATGTCAACTGACTCGAAAAATCCAAAAGTAATCAGTGTACCACACTGTCATATAACTTACTTTATTATAAAAACTGTTCAACAGACTTTATTCAGCGTTTAAAAAGTCAGAAATACAACGATCAGCATCGGGTGACAAATTCATAAAAAGTGTAAGTAATATATGTTTCCAACTATACAGCAACGGCATAGATAACACTTGCTGGCAGGACAGAATTTCCATAATAATGTACGAAATTGCAGTCTGAGGTCTAACTGTTAAGTGATTTCTTACCCATCTCTGAATGACCATTCATTACCTTATTCACATAACCAGTTGGTCAAACGTTATTTCTTTTAAAAATATCCACCAACTGAGCAAAGACGCTGAATAAATATTTGAGTAACGGTAAAATATCTGTTCGACCGACCGATCCTATTCGGAAACCAGTGCAGTAGTGTTTTCTCCTATAAAGCTGATATACAACTGAGGGTGTCTTCCAATGTTACAGCTGTATACACCTCAAATCAACCGAAACTGGCTAAGGATACAATAACTCTTTCCCTCAACAATGATACATGCCACTCAGAACACACGCAATTGAAATGTTCAAGTTTAATAGAATTAATTGATTTATGCCTTAAAACATATTTTCAATTCAACGGCAAACTCTACGAACGAGCAAACTGAACACCAATGGGATCGCCTATATCTGAACTAACTTCAAAAGCACTAATACAAAGATTGAAAACTGTGGTATTGCTGCTGATCAAACCAAAACTTTGGGTCCGATATGTGGATGACACGTTTGTCATCATTAAAAGAAACGAACTGAAAAACGCTTACAAATTAATGAACAACATTTTCGATGACATCAACTTTACAATTAAAGAGGAATTAAATGACAAACTTGCATTTCTAGATGCTCCGATCACGAGAACGGACTCGGGAAAATTGGAAACGGAAGCAAACAGAAAACCAACTCATACGGATCAAATTCTCAACTACAATAGCAATAACCCAACAGCACACAAAATCAGTTGTATAAAAACATTGTTCAAAAGGGCGAAAACACACTGTGGTATATCAACCCTGTTGAGAAAAGAAGAGAACTATTTGACGACTGTCTTTCGGAAGAACGGCTATTCACGCAACTTCACCAAAAAATGTTTACATAATTCGTCATCAACCAAGAAGTCAACCTCGAAAACTAACAAACGGGTTAGCCTACCCCATATGGAGAACGTCTCCGAGATCAAGACTAGATTACTGAAGCCTTTTGGAATCGCTGTATCTCACAAGACCAAAAAATCTCTTCAGTCTTTGTTATGCAGGCCAAAAAGTACAATAGCAAGGGAAGACAAACAAAAAATTATCTATGAAATAAACCGCAGAAAAGCTACATCAGACAGAGTGGTCACCTTCTTTGCGTTCGTCTACATGAACATCAACTAGCAGTGAACCATCATGACACATCTTGACTCATATTAATGCATACAGACAACTGTGGACATGAGTTTCATTGGGAAAATGTGAAAATTCTGGATAGAGGAAATACAATGAATGTCAGAAAATTTCTAGAAGCTTGGTATTCGAGTCAGTCAGCAATCAACAGAGATTGACGTTGACCCAATCTATTAACCAATAAGAAACAAGGTCAAATTTCAGGTCATCAGGATAATCTGTTAAATGAATTATGGAGAAAAGCTTATCGTTCACTTCTTTCTGAAGTTTGTGCTGAGGATTTCTAGAATGACAACGAAAGCTCCACGACAAAACAACGCAGCTTAGGGAACACAACACAATCAAAAAGGATATTCAACGAATCAAAATTTTCATTCTGACTATCTGAAATAGCCGTAGTTTGGCAGCCACCACCGGGTTTCCGAAAACTTGAATGAGGTGACATGGGTATGTTATGCATACCGCGCCACGACCTAACTCGACATACGATGTTGGTGGAAGTAGGATTGCATTGGAAGAAAGCTCAGGGTGGTTAAACCAGGACGTGGCACCATTTCATGAAATCTTCAACTGACGGTTTGAGCTATATGGGGAGGCAAAAATTGGCTAAGTGGCATCCTCGAGACGATATGAACTGGTGGTTAGAGAGTAGTGTTAACAGGAATCAAAATGGGTCAAAATGATACAAATGCACATATACTCTTTGTAATCTTTGAAGTTTGAATATTTTTACCAACTTTCATCTATTTATGTTCTCTTCTGTCATACACTTTTGTCCATCTTAATATCACTTATCCTATCCACCTGTTCTTTGTATGTTTCTGTGAAGTTTGTCAACGTCAATAGATTCACTTGTGCCAGGTTCTAAACTGACTTGCTTGTTTATTCATCATTTTTTTCAAGTTTGATAATCATCGCCTTCATGGTCACAGCAGAATTTCTCTATCAGGGTTGCTGTTATAAGTAGTCTAGTTACTATGTTCATGAACCATTTGACTTCACTTCATTATGTTTGAAGTGTTGGAAGGTATAACAAGATTTGATGGTCAAGTATATGGTTAGAAAGCGAAGCGTCTTGTATTGTTTAAGACTCACCTAATAGTATTTTACAAATATGTGTAGCCAAGTTTGTGAATATAATACATGACTGATGAACATTTTTGCTCCATTTATGTTCCAATGAAGAAATTTTACCTAGTACACTTGGCAAGCGTTCAGTTATTGAAGGGAATGTTCCTGATTCCTAGATGTTAAATATTAAAGTGGAAAAGAAACAAATAAACAAAGGAAAACAAAAGGTATAGTATTGTGGCACAAACTGGTGACTTCACGAAGTTGATAAATGATAGGCTAGTCTTTGATGACTGTTCAGTGTCCTCCGAATTGTGGTGTTTGTCTCCAGATATTTAACCGCCAGGCTAGATGACTTTATTAGCCCTTACTTCATACTTTATGATGATACTGATGAAGTCACATAGTCGGGTAATGAAGAGTCCAAAAGCAAACATGAAGGTTCAGAGAACACCAAACAATTATCATTCTCATTCTGAGCTACAAATGTTCTTTACTTTCCCAAACTATTCTTCATTAGTTAACATGGATGAAAAATGTAAAATATTGCATAAAAAAATATTGTGGTTCAAGCGACGACACTTGCCAACAACTTAAGAATGAGAAAACTGATGGAAGTCAGAAAATATTAGAATGGGGAAAAAAGTATGAAACGGAAGAGAAGGACTAATTGAAGTTTATTAACTTGCTTGATATGGTGAAAATGATAAGGAGGTATAAATATAGAGAAATCATCGTGGATCCTGAATTATTTGATCGAAAACTGGTTTCTATTATCTTCACAAATCTAGGGAGGTGGTTTACACCTTCCTAAAGGTAAAGTATCGATGAGACATCCTTAGCTTTCTTCTAATCTAATCCTACTCTAGTCAACATTCTACGCAATGTAACTCAATCCAATACATGGTTATGGACTAGACTATGAGCGATACGTGATGAGTGAGGGGTTATGGTACTATCCGTTTGATGAAGGAGAAGCAGGTGGAGCAAAGTTCAAGCTCGGAGATCATAGCTTGAAAGTGTAGTCTTTAAACCAATAAGCTAAATTTCTGCGTGGAGACTCGCATGAATGATAAGCGTCGTAGCAGCGTCAATCGATGAGGATTCAAATTTCGTTTATTGACTAGCAAGGCTCCTCTATCCAGTAACGTCAAAATTGCCAACTTGGTGGCTTCAGCATATGTCTCAGCGACTGAAAAAACAAAAAGAAACTAAGGATAAGAAACTACATAACTGTTTAGTTCCAGTTTAGGATTTATTGACTGTACATGTCATATATGCGCTTCATGATTGAAAACACCAATTACTGGAATCCCCCTAATTGTGCAATGCTTATTTCATATAGATATAAAAAAGTTCTGACCCAACATCTGCAAAAAAGCATGTACACACAGACAGGCAGACAGATCAACATATAACCTATCACAGGAGTGAATCAGTTCACCTTGACACAATTCACAACAGTATGTCAAGAGCACATGGATAGGAAAAAGGATATTAGGGCAGACAAAAGTATATGGTAGAAAAGAGCATAAACAGATGAAAGTTGGTGAAAATATTCAAACTCCGAAGATCACAAAGAGTATAAATGCATCTGCGCTATTGTGACGACTTATTTTGAGTCACATCACAAAACATCTCCAACCACTGGTTCATATCGTCTTGGGGACCTCAGTCAGACAACCTACATTGTTGCGAAAAGTTACTCAAAAATGTCCAACAGAACAGTTGTTAAGTGATTATTTATTTTTGAGGATAATGCCGGCTACTGGTGAACGAAGGATTCAAAAATAATATCTCACTAAATATTACTAGTTAAAGTCATGAGTAGTCGGTCACCGCATCAATCAGTCATAGTGAATTCGAGACTACAATACAGTCCGCATATCATTGTGATAACTATACCTGAAACAACTTGAACACAACTTTTAACTATATATCGAACGACAACAAAAACCGAAGTTGCTTGAACAAATGAAATAATAACCTTATTTTTTAGAAAACAAAAAGTGAATAAAATTGGTTATGCGATCGGCCTTCTAGAACGCGGACTAGTATTCATAATAACTGCTTCCAACTACCCAAATAGCTTTAAAGTGAAACCAATTTCTTCTATGCGAATTCAGTGCATAAGTGCTACAATTTCGTGCGAACAACTTAAAGATTGCATCAATCTACTTCGAAATTGCTATTACGACACTATGAAACGAGTTACTAAACATCGACAACATAGGTACAAACAAAATTATTCGATGCAAGTTTTTAACTTCTAAAGTTTCATTTTCAACCTTAAAATCATCTAATTAAATATTCTGCTTAGAATGTACATTTCAATTCATATAGCTTCCTCACTTTTCTATGCCACTGTCATGTTTTGTCTCACTCATGCACTCATTTTCACTTAAATTATGTCAAAAATCTACGATAATCTGGCGTTTCAAGCACTGTAATTTGTATGCAACTGAAGAAGAGTGAAGAACTAATAAAATGAGTCAATATTACTCAACTTCTATATGTATTTTTTTCTTTTTCCAAGTCTATAAGCAGAAATATGCATGCGATTTCTTTTTAGTAAATTAAAAACAGGAAAATAAATAACCAGTATGTTTTTATATAAAAGTCCGTAATCTGGATACTTTTTTCCTGCATGTAAAGATCACGTTGAATGAGTTTAGTAGCAATCATTTCCATGAAGCGCAGTAATCCAGATATTTTCTGTATGTCTGTCATTTTTAAAGTACTCGAGGTTTCAACCTAATATCCTGTGTCTACGAAGTGTCTAACAATTACACTAGTTAGAATTTCACTTCCTGTCAAGCTCGGATTCTTGGGGATATGCTCAACGAACCAAAAGGATGGCCTCCTCTTAGTCCTTCCAGTGTACTTGATACTGTAAATGCATGTGAAACAGCTACTACTCCTTAGTACAAAAAGTGTCCAGTTCCAACTCAATAATCAGGTTTATAAACAGACTGATAAAGTGACCATAGGTTCATCTCTAGGACTTGTCTTAGCAAATATCTTCAAGGGCTATCTGAAACAGACGCGCCTGAGTTCGGCCATCAGAAGAATAACCTATTGCTGTAGGTACGTTGACGACACCATTGTTGTTTGTTATGATATGAAACATGTAAATGAGTTGTTTGGCAAGCGCAACGAGACTCGTCTGAACATTAAATTTACGATGAAATACTAACATGAAAAAGAGTTTAGTCTTTTGGTAGAATTGATGGTATGATTGAAAAGACCATTCATAGAAAAGATACATGGATCAGACAATATCTTGACCGTAAGTTTCTGTCCTGCTAGCCGTAAGCGTGGGTTAGTCAAAGCCCTTTACAACAGAGCTGAGATTATGGTCTGCGGACAAGTTAGAGGAAGAATTAAACATTATTGAGAGTTGTCGCCGCGAGAATGGATAACCCAAGAGATTTATTATGATGTATGGAAAAGAACCGATCGAGAGAAATACGAACATAACTGTGGAAAATAAGGTTTTTATACACCTTAAATTTGAGGGAGAAGCACTATCCAAGGGAACAGACACAAGAATCGAATGAGCACTGAAAATCTTTCCTGGAGCTTAAGTTGAATTAGTATACAATACCACATCTTTATTGAACCAATCAAAATTGGATAACTACCCTCTTCATGTCACCTCCAACTGTATTTATAAATTCCCGTGCACTTGCGGTATCAAGTACATTGGAAGGACTAAGAGGAGGCCATCCTTTTGGTTCGTTGAGCATATCCCCAAGAATCCGAGCTTGACAGGAAGTGAAATTCTAACTAGTGTAATTGTTAGACACTTCGTAGACACAGGATATTAGGTTGAAACCTCGAGTACTTTAAAAATGACAGACATACAGAAAATATCTGGATTACTGCGCTTCATGGAAACGATTGCTTTTAAACGCATTCAACCTGATTTTTGCATACAGGAGAGCGTGGTTAGTTTTTCACTCTCTTGGTGACTATGACTTGATCCTGTCTCATTTTCCTTTTAATCACAAAAATCACTATTTATTATCACCCTTCCCTCCTTACATATCTCACTCCTGCACTAGTAATTCTCTTAAATGTTATGTGGATTATCAATGATCGTTATAAAGCTTACGATTAACGAATTCCTAATACTGAAATATCATGTCCTAATAATTTTTGTACTTTTAGACTGTATGCAGATGAAGAGTATTCGTGAAATAAAATGATATTAATTTATTCTGCAAATTCTGTCCTTCTTGCTTTGTCCAAAGTAGGATTGCGTTGCAAGAAGGCTCAGGGTGGTTCGTCAGTTCATCAAGTCTTTACTGTCAGTTCGTGTCGTGTATGGATGGTTAGACTGCCTGGCTAGGGTCCTTGGAATGACAGGAATTAATGGTTTGAAACTTTTGGTAAGAAGGTTGGAGATCCATCACAGTGGTGAAAATGTCTGCAATATGAAGTCTTCTAAACGTTTTCCTTACTCTTCATTTTTCAGAATATTTCTTCTTCCAGCCCCCCTCCTCTTTATACGCTATTGTTCACTTCAATATTACTATTCTTGTTCGTTTCATTCATCTTGTTGTGAAATGTGGCAACTTGAACCGACACACCTCCGTGTTAGGTTATTCGAAAACGAAGGAGACCACTCTGTCTGATGTAGCTTTTCTGCGGTTTATTTCATAGATAATTTTTTGTTTGTCTTCCCTTGCTATTGTACTTTTTGGCCTGCATAACAAAGACTGAAGAGATTTTTTGGTCTTGTGAGATACAGCGATTCCAAAAGGCTTCAGTAATCTAGTCTTGATCTCGGAGACGTTCTCCATATGGGGTAGGCCAACCCGTTTGTTAGTTTTCGAGGTTGACTTCTTGGTTGATGACGAATTATGTAAACATTTTTTGGTGAAGTTGCGTGAATAGCCGTTCTTCCGAAAGACAGTCGTCAAATAGTTCTCTTCTTTTCTCAACAGGGTTGATATACCACAGTGTGTTTTCGCCCTTTTGAACAATGTTTTTATACAACTGATTTTGTGTGCTGTTGGGTTATTGCTATTGTAGTTGAGAATTTGATCTGTATGAGTTGGTTTTCTGTTTGCTTCCGTTTCCAATTTTCCCGAGTCCGTTCTCGTGATCGGAGCATCTAGAAATGCAAGTTTGTCATTTAATTCCTCTTTAATTGTAAAGTTGATGTCATCGAAAATGTTGTTCATTAATTTGTAAGCGTTTTTCAGTTCGTTTCTTTTAATGATGACAAACGTGTCATCCACATATCGGACCCAAAGTTTTGGTTTGATCAGCAGCAATACCACAGTTTTCAATCTTTGTATTAGTGCTTTTGAAGTTAGTTCAGATATAGGCGATCCCATTGGTGTTCAGTTTGCTCGTTCGTAGAGTTTGCCGTTGAATTGAAAATATGTTTTAAGGCATAAATCAATTAATTCTATTAAACTTGAACATTTCAATTGCGTGTGTTCTGAGTGGCGTGTATCATTGTTGAGGGAAAGAGTTATTGTATCCTTAGCCAGTTTCGGTTGATTTGAGGTGTATACAGCTGTAACATTGGAAGACACCCTCAGTTGTATATCAGCTTTATAGGAGAAAACACTACTGCACTGGTTTCCGAATAGGATCGGTCGGTCGAACAGATATTTTGCCGTTACTAGATCTAGATAGTTTGCGTAGCACCCAGGATCTATTCATGACTCACCGATTGATAGCTGTGATGATAAAAAGATGAGGTAAGGTGGTCAGCTTACAGTGTGAAGCTAAGGAATTGGAAAATAATAATGTTGATATTGCATTATCACAACTCTCTGGGTGAAGGTTTGAGAGCGTATGCGACAAAGTAGTTCAAGGCATTTCATGTATGAATTCTCCTTCATGAATTTCTAAAATAAAAGCGAGAACAAGAGCTGGTGCCGGATAAAATGGATCCGTTCTATATCAGAGGTATTTTGTCAACTGATTACACCCTAGAATATCAAAATATATAGTTTAGTTGACGATTTAACATACTTCAATTCACTTGAAGAAAGAATACCGGTCAGTAGTTTAACTGGACAGAAATAGTAACTACTGAAGTAGAAGAACAGAATGGTCTACCTTAAATTTTCTGAACAAATTCTGCAGAGCCTACGACTAATGTTAAGTTACATTCTCAACAGCACAAGCATTCAGCATCTGATTCACATTGAGCATATGCAGTGATGTCTAATTTTGTGACTAGTTACCAAATTAACGTTTTCGTTATAACGTTAAGAATGGAAACTTTGTTAAGAGTAAGTTTTTCGCTAAAAATCCATACCCTAAGCTAAAAATATTCCACACAATGAAAACTTTGTTTCATTTATGTAAGCGCTTACTTTCGTTATTGATGAATTATTCTGGTGACATGAACCTTCATTTAATGGAGTTGAAGTGATAACTTTGGAGTGGTAATTCCGACGTCTGCGTACTTTGTTTTTATCCGAAGATGTAGCATTAGAAGCGCATGACTTGGTTTTGTCTTCCATACTACTAGGTAATGCACTGTAACCCTAAAATAGAAAAAGATAAACAGTAGAAAAAGAAAGGATCTCATTTGCGAGTAAATCTAAATGAGTGGCAGAAAATAAACCAAGGAGCAGATTGCAGTGTTCTCATTGCTACCAAAATCTTATCCTTAGATAAAGCAATGTGCTAGAAATTACCAGAATGTACATGCTGTGTTAGCGATAGTCAACTGGCAGGAAGTCATAGACCTGAGTTTAATGCTTGTTGACACCAATCAGTAAGGGGTATCAGTTAACCATGAGCAAACTGTTATCCCCTCTCTGATTCAAACTTGCATCACTGAGTGCTGGAGTCGGAGACTTAACCACTAGGCAGTTCAGGTCACGACTGATTTCCTGTAGGATTGGATTATGTACACAAACTAGTTGCCAGTAGGTAACCGATATAGCTGCCTATTTCTTAGTGTTTAGCACTGATTGAAGTCAATCAACCCAGTTTTGCAATCTGGTCACCAAACGGAGTGACACGACACTATGGTGCGAGAAACAAAATTTTCATTGTTAGCATTAAAGGGTAAAAGAGGATGGTAACTGTACTCAATACTAGGATAATAACACCTAACCTGTATACATGCCTAAGCAGAGTCAATAAGCAACAGTGAGGAGCAACACACCATATACCGGCTTGGCATTGTCAAAATGACAGGTTCGGTGGAATTGGTAAATGACATCAGTGGATAACACTATGGATATCTGATTCTTTCCCTAGAGCCTTTGAACTAGTGTCCATAGTAATTGGTCTTTACTTGGACGTGTATTACGGAAAGACTGGTGTGGGCAGCAAAAATTTCTTTAACAAGAAAAAGGAAGAGTAAGCACTGTTTCTAATACATCGAGTAGGTATAAGGTTAGAAGAGATGTCAACCGTTGAATTTATTCTACGGATTTCAGGATTACTAGTGAACCAAATGCTCTCATCAACCACGTCCACATCCATACAGTAAGTAATGATTCACATCCATTCTCTGAAGGACAATGGTACTATCTGGTTAACCAAAAGTCGGTAACTATGGCGGAATCTGAACCTGTGATCCAATGGTTGAAAGTCAACTATCCAAGCCAATGAGCCACGGCTCCGCAGGAAGGATGCGCTAATTTGACAATGCCTAAAAACAGCTTATTTTTGCTTGTTGTGGGGGAAGTCTCTCACAAAAGCCCGAAAGGGATTGACTTCAATGTCGTTTCCACCATTTCTAAGCGTTACTCAAATTAAAGCGTACGTTTTGACAGTGCCGCAAGGTCACTTTACATAGGCAACAAATCAAGTTTCCCCGTGGCCAGAAGATTTAATACTTAATTTGTGTATTCACTCAATATTCAGATATCTTCCTTTTCAAGAGAAGTGTGAGGACAGAATAGATGTAGTACAGCGGATAGGTTGATGTCGAAGTTGAACTGCAAAATGGGTAAATAGTGTTAGTAAAAGGTCAACACTTTAGGTATGCATATGTATGTAGTAGTGTCTACCTAAAGTGATTCAATCGCCAAAAATGGCAACGACAGTTGTTGGTCGTGAAGGTTAGCTGTAGTTTATTATGAATAATATCTCAAAAGCTACAACTGGCCGACCATAGCGCATCGTCGTTCGTACCTAGTAAGCATAATTCAGATACTAGAGCTGTTAGAAAATTAATTGACACTGGAAGAAGTAGGATGACTGACAGTTCTGACAGCAATCATGATACGAAAACTGGTTGATCAATGCCAAGACAGAAACCTGGTCATTGACAGTTACCAATAACATGATAGCATGCTGGGAAATGTAAGTGCTCTGACCACTGACACAGATTTTAAATAAAACTCAGGGTTCTCTTACGCCAAACCTTAATCAGAATATACGTTTATGCTTATATACCTACATAGCGAATGATTTCGTGAAGATAATCAATATTGTTTAGCAAAAATGCTGAGTTATGATATTTAATGAGTGATACAACATTATTTTACTTTGAGCTATAAAGTTGAACCACACGCTCACATTGCTTTACCTCTGGTAACGCACAGTGTAGATTGTGCGCCTTCAAAATCGAGTGAAAATGCATCAAAATCCAAAATCCTTTTGCGAGCAAGTGTGAACCAACTGATTTCTTCTCGTTCCCTTTTAGGTCTTTTATTAAAGATAGTGCGTCAGTTCAGTCTATGTAATACTTGGTAGTAGTTTTTCGCGAAGATTTTGTTTCACCTTGACTCACTCATCAAATATTTGACATTACTAACTCAGATCAGATGTACCCACCAGTGATCACTGTATGAGAAGCGTATTCTCATGGTAAGTTCATTAAACCATGATTTCTGTATTTTCTTGAAGTGGCTCTGAAAATAGACGGCCCGTGAAGCGTGCAGGAAAGATGACAAAAATCTTAAGGTCCGAATAATTAGTGATTGGTCTTTGCGTCTGTCAAGTTCGCACCAGGACAAATCCTAAACTGTTAAGGATACTGTTTAGGAAAGAGTTATGTGTGAACCCGACTGAGCCAAGGATCAGGTAATAACTACTTGGATATGTTTTATGCATACGAGTGAGAAAACAATAAAGAAAACTATCGAGCGGCCAACTGGAATAGTATGTTTGATGAACCCTGGCAAAATACCTATGAGTCCTACCAATTAGCTAGAGGATCGCGTGCCAGCAACGCAATGTAATATGACAGGGTAGGAAATGGTGCGGATGCCTGACCGCATGCCTTCAGCTTTGAGAGCCCGTTAAAACCATGTCGGTCGGTATCAACGTCGAATCTCGTCGAACTCTAGGCTATTGATTCTAGTGAATTATTTGTCGGTGCACCTATATTAGGTCACGCCTATCATAAGGCAATGGAAACGGCTTTTGGCCTTATTAAGCGTGCCTCACAAGATGCATTCGAGTGGCCACTGAGTAAACCAGTGCTGGTTCTTCGAACGTGCTCCATCGCTCCAATTGCTCCAAGTACTTGCCTTTTGAATGGACTGTCCATGTTGGGATCTTTCGGATGTGGGATACGGTACCCGACAGATGTTTTTTATCGAAGTATCTGAAGCATTTCAGCAGAGACCGGGATAACTGGAAGGTTTTCTTTGTGCCCACACTGCAATGCACAGCTTTATCATGGTTGACGACGACCCCAAGTCGTTGGTATCATGAACTACATATATTTGCGCACTACCTTTCAGATGATGGCTACAGTGTCATGACGAATATGCGTGACTGCAGTCTTACTTGAATTAATACCTGAAAACTAATTTCTGTACTACCTGGCTAGTTCGTTCAGCTTCTCCGGTTGTGAATAACTTATGAAGTTTTCATATCGACAATAAGCATTTAAGCCGGAGACCTAATACATCTGAGTTGGTTGGCCTGGAGCAGGAAAAGGCGGTAAATCAAAAGCTTTCCCGAGGAGGCCCATCCGTTTCAAACTGGCAACCAAATTCAGTCCGATCTATTCTCATGCTCCGTCTCCTGTTGCATGGAAATTATTTCAGAATTGCATTGTAATGTAACGTTCAAGACAATACAGCTTCCCTCTTAATCTAACGTCTGAAACCTTACCGTAAGCCTTGCTGAAGTTAATAAAAGAAGAATCTTTGGACACCTTGTTATCGCGAACCTCTGAAAATTTGTCTGTTCTTTCAAGGGGGCTGGTTATGCAGGATTGACCAGCCTGAAATCAGGTTGTAATGGCCTCAGAAAACTCAAGTTTTCAACATGACTTACAGTGTCTCCGAGTACTTCAATAAATCTACTACTGGAAATAACCAAAGAAGAATTAGATATCACTCGGTTTTTACTTGCCTTGAATAGTCAGCCGGTTGTAGGATCCCTCCAGTCTCTCCGAGATCGAGATTGATATATAGACATGCCAGATGACTAAGCAAGCCATCCGTCAACGACGTCTGCCAACAGAAACTACAACATGGTGTTCAAATAATCTTAACTAAAATATTTACAGACTTGTAGCATCAACAGTCAGAGTATAATATAGTAGTCGTTGCCAAGGGATCCTATCTAATTCGGGATTCTTGGTTCCTGATAATTTTTTTCTTTCGATGCGGTCAAAAGATCCATGTCTCCCTGCCTTTGGTTAACTGAGATTAAAATCTACTGCTAGTTTGAATTTTGCCCTCTGTAGATTAGGTTGGTTAGGCAGCTACTGACTGTCCAGAAGGTCACGGTTTTGTGACGTCTATGTGTACAGGCACCCGAAGAGCATTGGGCGGAGAAGAGTAAGAAGATGAATGGGATATCCCCGAAGAAGGACAAGAGTAGGTAGGATTTACGGAGTCGGGTAGGAGGCTTTAGAAGACAGAACAGGGAAACCAAAGCAAGCAGATTGCATGTATCACATAAAAGATAGCAGTGAATGGGTGAGGGCCTAGTAGGTTTTGGCACTTGTTTCAGGATAGATGGGCGGCTAGTTTGTCCACTGCTGGTCGGCCATACTAGCCGATTTTCTGTGAGAAAAAGTCTACCAGGGAGGAGCCGTAACAACACTCTAAGGTACAGCGTTCCTAGTAAAAATAATAATAATAATAATGGCAACAATAGTAGTAATAGTAATAATAATTCTTTTTCGAATCAGAGACAGGTCATTCTCGCAGTTTTGGGTATATGGTTTAAACAATCGATCATAGTCATTGTATCAGTTGAAAACAGGTAGATTTGAGAGAATGAAGTCTCACCTGTTTTTTAATTCCTGCAGATAAGAGCAGTCATGAGAGTTATATCTTGTAAAGGTGGACTGCGAAGAACCCTACAAAGATAAAAAGGCAGCTACCAAAGAGCGCGTCTTATAAGTTGCGTCTATATCCCATTTTCGTTATTTGGCCACTGGCAAAAGATGGTGATTCCTCGGCAGATGAACCCAATGAGAAAGATAGAGGGCATGGAGAACGGTTGTACGAGCAGCAGCTCAGTAGGAATATCAAGACCCACTTACTTTGAAACTGACAGACGTATGGAATTAACTAATCCGGAAATTTAGCAACTAAATGTATTTTGTGCTGTTTGCGTCTACAGCTAGGTTAACAGACAATCAGTCGGTCAGTGCCGCTATTCTTAAATGCCGGATTATGAACATATCTTGACACATTTTCCCCCTGATAACTACTATGGGTCTTCTGTCCGAATGCGTTTTCTTCCTGAGTTAGTGTGTCTTATCCACTGATAAATTGGGTCGGAAATCAACAGGAAGTAGAAGAAAGCTAACGGTCGACGGTGGAAATTCGTGCATCGTTAACGGCTGCAGTGGTCTGGAACGATAACACAGACAGCTTTTAAAATAGGTGGTGCTGTGCCCAGACCGATGGATAATACAATGATGTCATTCGTACGAAGTTTGTTTCGCTAATACTCTGCTTTGCCCAGCTGGAGATACGCACTACGGAATAGTGAATAGTGGCGTGGAACAGCAAACGCAGGGAGCAGGCTTGAGGGTTATAGAACATATGTGGAATGAGTACTTCATGAAATAAAAGCTAACAGTCATTAACACAGTACACGTTTTGACATATGGAAAATTCATCCAGCATTACTTCTCTAGTGAGTATGGCATTATGATATAAAAGCGGTTATTTCCTCGCGTGGTGATCAAAGCTGGCCAAAATTAGTAAAACTGTCGATTTTCCAGAAAGGAGTGAGGCTTCGATACTTGTTAATGAGATGATGAATTAAGACGGGTACAATTCAACGAGTTTGTTCCCTTCCCGCCGTATTAGTTTCAGGACATGCCCACATCAGAAGTAGCAGCTATGAGGGGAAACGTAGGCAAATGAGAGAAAAGAGAGAAGGCTGTGGCAAAACAATGTTTTTAAATATTGAAGACAACATCCCTCGGGGCTCAGACAGGTTCGGAGGTGAGTTATAGCATACATTTCATATTCTGTTTGTTGATATATTTGACATCAGTTTTATGATTAGGCACGTTAAAATTGTTCTGATAAGGAACATTAGGTGGGCTTCCCGCTGGTTTCAAATTCATTGGTTTGTTGCCAACGCGGTGTCCCAGTTTATAATTCATATTATATCATGTTTTTACGCCGTTCGACTCAGGCGGATCAGAAGCATTTGGAAGACGATGGAAGTGGTTTTGTTTCGTAACTGAGCATAAAGATCTGAGTCAGGTGTAGGGCTCAACCCATCTTCGAATAAGCGAGAAAACAGTCTTGATCCTATTAATTACTCTGTGTTAAAACAAACGGTATCGATGAGACTGTATCATTTTAACTTTGAGCGCGATTGAAATAGACCAGATATGGTCAAGTAATTACGAAATACACCAGTGGTAAATAGATAGGGGTATTATGATAATTTTGAATAGCGGGGAAGCAGTATCAAGAAGTGCTCTGCTAGTTGGCCTGACATTGGGGGTTAAGACGACGGAAAAAAGACGCCACATACGGAGTAGAACATAGGGTAACCGGTGATATCTTGGGATAGAGCAAACGTGGATAATCCATGAAAAAAGTGAAGGCAGATGGCGAGTATGGAAGAGACGTATTATAGATCGAACGAAATGAGTAATTAGTCTGTTCTGAGGCTGGCGACCGGGTGTTCGCTTAAGGCAGTAAGCTCAAATCCTGTACATGCATGAGCAGAGGTCAATGTGGTTATGTACAGCTGGTTGTTGAGCTGCGTTTTGCTGCGTTTTCACAATGAATCCTGGGGAAATTGTTTTTGATTACTTATTCTTATTTAGGATAATTAAGATGCCATAACAATCAGATTATGCTGTCCAAAAGACAAGGATGGGACCCATGCATTCGCACTGCCAGATCTACCAATAAACATTCATACGTAGCCCTTTTCTGAAGTGCAAGGCCTCCATGGGTGTTTTTTCTAGCATTCGTCATGGTACTGTAACTACGGGTGCTGTTCTTCAATAGGAGCGTTAGACTACGACGCGTCAAACCCTAGGTATTTTATGGAACAGAACGATTGTTTTGAAAATCCCTCCTGAGCACACACTTGGCAGTAATGTTATTCGTTAGAGTAGTTCCGCCCCTTCTGTAGGTGTTATCGTTGGCCTGTAACCCATGTAGCATTATCTTGACATTAACCCATCTTCTT